GGCAATTCGTGAGCGCAAGAAATCAGCGAATCTTCTTCCGTTGGCTGAGGAAGTTTCGAGACGTAAAAGTTAAACAATATCGGAGATAGAACATCATCCTGTTGCACTACTTGCTTAGTTCGTCTAATTCTTCGTTGCTTGGAGGTTCGACGATACCAGGTAAACTTATGACCAGATTATAAATTGGGCGCACTCCATCTTACTTTGTTCATATGTAAGGAATACTGAGAGGTTTTCTGTTTATCTAAACATTTTTCTGGAGCATTGTGATCCGCCTTATATATTTTATTCAGAATTGCAATCGATAAATAATAACAACGAACTTTTTCGGGGTGTCACATTCCCTTAGACAAAATAACGTCGTCTTTGAAAGCGCCTAGTATTGTTTGAGACCAGGAAACTATTGCTGAAGATAAATAAATATTTGTAAATACTGTTTTTTTTTTGTTCTCTTCAGAGCACATCATGACCTTCGCCCATGCCACTGGACTGGGTTGGCTGTCACCTACATTAAATATACTTCAGTCACCTGCGTCACCGCTCGATTTCCCGGTCACAACAGGAGCTGCCTCCTGGATTGGCTCTACATTTGGTTTGGGTTTTATAGCAGGAAATATATTCTTTGGCCTTACACTGGATCGGTGGGGTCGCAAAATAAATATGTACATTTTGGCTTTTCCGCATATGGTAAGGTAGCCGATTTAATGGGAAAAATTGAGTGTCACAAAAATTAGAAAAAAAATTCTTGTAGATTTTCTGGATACTCAACTACTTGGTGCAATGCGTTGAACATTTGTATAAAGCGCGTTTCTGTGCTGGACTAGCAAGCGCTGGCATTTTTTTGGTTGTGCCAATTTTCATAAGCGAGATTTCCGATAAAGAGTAAGCCAATTATTTTGGGAATCTATAAGAAATACTTCCGTTTTGTATTTCCAAATAATCATCGCCAATCGCGGTTTCTGCTTTTCTCTACTATGCCTTTCACGCTTTTCCAGCATCCGCGGCGCGCTCACTGCCATGGCTATGATGTTCTTCAGTTCCGGCTTGTTGGTTGGTTACATAATGGCCAGCTATTTGGACTACTACCTCATACCCTGTATCATAGTTGTACTACCCATTCTATATCTGATCGGCAATTCATTTCTACCGGAGACGCCACAGTGTTTGCTAAAGCGCGGACGGCGAGGCTGAACGCTCCTTCAATTTCTACAAGGGCATCGAGTTCCATGCTTACCTAGAGAACACTGCTTCAGCACCACCAACGCCCATTAGCGAATTTGATGAACTGAGAGCAACAATTGAGAAAGGTGGTCTGTCAACGCCACTCACGATGAAAGACTTCTGTAAGCTATGGCCTCAGCTCAACGAAAATAATTTTAATTTCAAATTTCATTTTATCTTTGCAGTCAACAAAGCGACACTCTTCAATTTCTTCACTGCCGCAATCTTGTGTTTGCTCAATCAGCTGTCGGGTAGTTTTGCAATCATCAATTATATGGCAAATATTTTTGCCGCTTCCGGTTCGACTATGAATCCAAATGTTAGCGCCATTATTATGGGATTCGTGCAAATACTGGGTTCATTGTCGGCCACCGTATTGGTGGAGCGTTTCGGTCGTCGGCCTTTGCTTTTATCCTCGGCGGTCGGCATGATGGCTGGCATGTATAGTTTTGGCGCATTCGTGCAATTTACCGACGCTCAAACGAAGGCTACATACAATTGGGTGCCAATTGCTTTTATGATGTTGGTGGTGTTCACTGCGGCTTATGGAATCTTTGGAATTTTCTTCACAATTGTAGTTGAAATACATCCGGCAAAGGTGAGCAGAAAGAGCCCTGAATTGAAAAAGTTCATGAAATTTGATAAACTTTAGACATTCAACAAAATATTTGTTGTGATTTTGGTTTCAATAGTACGCTCGAAAGCATCGGAAATGCTTTAACAAATTTTTGACCTTCGTCACCCTTTTTTACAGCGAATGCGAATGATCATAGACGAATGATTTTTTCACCTTTCCTATACTGATAAGCATCTTTCTGCAACATTTTTTCCATAATCTCTTTTTTTCTTTTTCTAGATTCGTCCGCAAGCTCTATCGATTTGTATGCTATTCAACAGCATTCTGGTATTCATAACTTTGAAGCTATTTCCCTATTTCCTTTTTAATTTGGGCATCACAATTACAATGTATTCCTGTGCCAGCGTTTGTGAGATTACAGGCATTTATCTGTACATTTTTCTGCCAGAAACTAAAGGCAAATCAATGGAGAAGGATTAGGAAGAAAAATGTTGTTATTAAAAATTATTTTTAAGGAACAAAGAAAATATTTAATTATTTTTTATTGGAAAGGAATAAAAATTAATAAAAAGTGAAATCTTGTTTTTTTATTTATATTTATTTCGGTTAGAGATCGGTTATATCGTATTAATAACTATTTGCAGGGCTTTTGTTGTTTCAAGCTACGATCTTGTAAAAAGTAAGGTATTCATTTGAAAAAAATAAAATAAAAAATAGTCGTGCTACAAAAGTAATCTTAATCGGCGCTTTTCGCTATACAGTTAAAATCTAAATACAGTTTTGTTCGCTTAATTGGGCATGAAATATCGCACGAGTTTTTGTTTAATGGTGATTTCGTTTATCCCCAAAAATTGTTGCCATTCCACGGTACAAAATGTGTTTGATGATACATTCAACCCTGTAAACAAAGCTTCAAGCTGCTGACAAAGCTTCAAAGGGCAGAGAATGTGCCGGTTTTGTCTTACAAAAGTGTGACATTTAAAGAAACGAACACAACATTTTCTTACTTTTTGCCTTTATTTTAGAATCGAACACGAAAAGCGAAAGGGGCAATAACAAGGCGACATTTTTTGGTAGAAACGAAAACACTATAAGTACTAGGGGAATCATTGAACTGGGACTGGGAGTTGTTGGTTAAAATATGTAGGGAGCCCTTTAAGTGAGCGCCAGTTAGCCGGAGGATACTGAATGTCACTTCTACAAAGAAATAGATTCGCTGTGGTACCACCTCAAAAAAATATTTTTTTCAAACTTTTATGGATCAATTTCTTAGCCGCTATCATAGCCCTTATCTAACTGTCTCCACGATAAGAAATGAAAAACAGATGCCAAGATAGTTCGAAGGACCTTTGTTATTCTAGCACAAAGGACTTCGCATAAAAGCTTTCTCATTCACCACTCATGGTGAAAAGCTATTTTGAGAGAAATCACTTATCATTTAGCACGCGTCCCTCCAACATGAACAATGGCCGAGTGAGCAAGGCACGGGCATACCATTAGAGAGATCTGAGTTCAAGTTCTCGTGCAGCCTTTCTTTTCTTTTTTCTAATTAAAATTTTTTTATTTTTTTATTTCATTTAATTTTAAGAAACTTATTTTATGTATTTTTCGCTTCATAATTTAATTTTCTCGTAATATTTATGTCATTGTTCTAAAAAGAATATTTTTTTAAGTTTCGTTAAATTTTTAGGAACCTTTTTTATTTTCTTTCTTTTTTTATTAAATTTTCTTTACTTCTGACTTTAATTTTTAGATTTTATTTAAAAATATGTTTTTTTTTTCAATTTCATAAAATATTTAGAAACTTATTTTATTTATTTCTTCTTTTTTTAAATTTAAGTTCTTGTTACTTTGTTAATTTCATTTTGTTTTAATTGTTAAAAATTTTATTGAAAAGAGAAATACATATATTTATTTTATTTATTCATTCAATTCTTAGGGTGTAAATGATTCCTGTCTTTTTTAAATACTTTTTTTAATTTTTTGTTTTATTTTAAAAATGTAAAAAAAGTATTTTTTTAAATCTTCTGGCAAAATCTTGAAAAGTGCCAAACTCAACTGAATTTCAATTAACGGAAAAAGTGAGAATAATCTAAAAACTAAAAAAGTGATTGAAAATGGAAGGAGGCAAAAAAGAATTGATATACATATTTAGTAAGTGTTTATTATGCTTGCGCTTGTGTGAATCTGTTATGTACATACATTTCTATTTTTATTTGACATTAGTTTTGTTGTTGCCGTTCTTTGGACTGAATGATTGGATTTTTGCGTTTCTTTACTTTTTTTCTGTTATTATCTTTTAGTGAGCGCATTTTCCTTACGCTCTTGCATTTTGACACTTTCCTGATTTTAGTCTGAAAAGATTTGTCCTTCGAAAGACTGTGTTGGGTTGAAAGTTACCACAACTGCCCTGTAAGAGTTTATTAGCTACATATCAAAGCATAGTTGCCTCACGTAACTGCAGAACACATTAAAAAAATACTATACATTTTTTTTATTTATAATTTGCAAATAAGAATTTTTGCAAATGCATACTTAAATATTTATCTTTTTCCTATCTAATCACCTCACTATATCACACTTTAAGCAAACAAAAGCTAAACGCTGGTTTCGCAGGTAAGCACATTAGAGCGGGTCGAATAAAAACGCCAAAAAAAAACTTGCTTCATGATTAGAGCTTTTAGTTATACATACACTCGAATTCATAAAAAATATAAAAGACTTTATATGATTTATAAATCGAAAAATTTGATGAAAATGTCATTTGCTGAAAACTGTATTATCTACGCCTTCATCTCTAGCGGATTTTTAGAGTAGTTCAAAAAATATTTCATTTTGAGATACTCTCCATAAGCTTTCAAATAGTTGGTGTTTGCTTTAAAAATCTTTCCTTTTGTATGGCGATCGACACGGTCTAATGTAAAGCACACAGTTTTCGTGTATGTAAATACATACATTCATCTGTATACATACTTACTTTTTTGAAGATAAATCTCGTGTATCTGAACTAAACACAAAACAAAGTATATTCAAATGTAGTTTCAGTTGCATTTCAAATTGTGACGAGTGTGCGTGCAGTTAGCCGATGCCATGTGCATAACTCTTGGGTGATGAAGATTTGAAAGTGTCACTTTAATTAATCAATAAGTCTACAGAATACAAAAAAAGACCACACTCCCGGTTTGAATTGAGAATCTTCAATATGTTTAAAAATAAAATTGCGTTATTTAGTAAACGAAAACGCATGCAACTCCTAGTGACGCTTTCATGTGAGTTAAGACGAAACCATCTCATAGACATAAATATATGACATATTTGAAGTATGTACATACATATGTAGAATAAGAAGGCAAGTGTGTTTTATGGCTGTTATAGCACACATTGAGTAGTGTCTATATGTTTCTTATATGGGACTAAAATGGTTGTACAAGAGTTCTCTTTTAACTTTAGGCGACATTGAACGCGGAAATTTGCATACAAGTTTATTATTTAGGGTATTTGTAATTGTTAGTTGGACCAAAAATAAATTCCGTGCACATCGAGTATATTTTAATTTATATGGTATACTAATACTAAGGCGGAAAACTTACGACTTCATGATTTTCAGCTTTTGCGCGAAGATGTAAAATTTCGTGCGATACGAAATACATTACCGACCATCAAACTTAGAACCCAAAACTATGGTGCTCAGCACTATATTCAGCTACAAGCTTTTATAGAGGCTGAATATAGCCTGAAAAGCACTGAACGCACCTGCAAAACCTGGCGAGGAGGTGCATACATATGTATATTCTAACAGACACTTGCTTACCGCTGACAACGAGGACTTTGATTGATTGCGTACTAAATCTGAGGAGCCAATATCGATTGGGACCGGTTACAACAAAGAAAAGCTTACGCCTATAAACGGGATTAGAGATAATTAAATTTGACCATAAATCTACTTAAACAATCAACTTCTCATTCTTCGAACGTAAAAGAATAATAGAGTCCCGGCTTTAGAAGCAATGACGTCAGGGTCGTTGTTTGCTTAATAAATAAAATAAAAATAAAAAGTAATGTTTATCACCTCGGTTCGGAATGTATTGTAAAAATATTGGAAATTTAGAAATTTTAAATTTTTTTCCAATCAAAATTTTCCAATATCAGTTACCACCTCGGTTCGGAATGTATTGCAAAAATATTGGGAATTTTGAATTTTTTTCCAATCAAAATTTTCGAATATCATTTACAAGAAGTTTACTTTGCGTGCTTTGGGCTGTGAAAAATTTTCCTTGGTTTTGGACAAGTCAATTTTGAAAAACTTCGCTCTCTGCTGCAATACTCACTGGCCTGTTTCCTGAGGGAAACCCAAACATTAGGAAAGACATCGACGATATTTTTCTTGGTGATAGATTGGGTAACCTCCAAAAGCCGTTTGATGGCTAGACATTCCGGGCAACTCCACTACACCAAAGAAATATTTATTATTTCTGAAGTGCCACGAAAGTCTAGATTGTTTTGAGCGAGATAAATACATGGTTATGATCACAAAACGTTTTAGACATAATCTTACTATCTTAAATATGCTGTGAAGTTCTATCGATTTAATACGAAGATTGCCCCGCTTTATTCACTGCGGATATGAGAGTTCTACTTTTTAAGTTCAGTCTCTTCTCAAGCCTTTTTTTCCAGCCATCATTATTCATGTTTCTCTTCGTGCAATTAATGTCGTAACCTGCAAAATGAAAATACCTAAAACCATTTTTCATTCCAAGAAACTTCAGATGCCTATTAGGCACAATTTGTACTTTAAAATAGCGGCAAAGGATCAAACTGGTGAAGAGAACAGCTACACCTTACACTAATTAATTTTTTATATATTTTGTGGTGATGCAAATCGTTCTCATTTTCGAACTCTAAATTAACATCTTTTTTGCCTAAGTTTACAACATTTCTTTAAACACTGTCGCTTTCTTTTTTCTTCAGGTCATATTTTGAACTTCTCGCATGGAATTGGCTTTGGCTGGGTATCGCCGACTGTGCAAATCTTACAAACCCCTGAGACGCCTTTCGAAGTACCTATAACCGTCGAACAGGTTTCCTGGATCGGTTCGACATTCGCTTTTGGATTTTTGTGTGGAAATATTATTTTTGGCCTAACCGTAAATCGCTTAGCCCGCAAATACAATATGTACCTAACGGCTTTTCCACATATGGTGAGTTAAGTAATCAGCTCTGCACACCCTATATATGTATGTACATTATCGCTCACAAATTACTTTTACTATCTACTTAGCTCTTTTGGATATTGAACTATTTTGCACAGAGTGTTGAGTATCTATATGCGGGTCGTTTCTTTGCAGGACTCACCAGTGGTGGATTGTTTGTGATAACGCCAATATTTCTCAGTGAAATATTAGATGTAGAGTGAGTACTTATTTAGAAAGTAAAGTAATTGGTTTCACTTCAGTTCGAATTTACGAGTACTAATCAGATACCTACCCATTTTGTATAATCATTGCAGTATTCGCGGTGCTCTCATGTCCATGGGCATGATGTTTGTCAGTTGTGGTGTTTTGGTTGGTTTCATATTGCCCACCAAAGTCAACTATTACGTAACACCCTGCATTGCCGTAGTGTTTCCAATATTTTATCTACTAGCATTGTATTTCTTTCCGGACACGCCACACAGCTTATTGAAACGCAACCGTTTGGCTGAAGCAGAGGAGGCTTTTAATTTTTACAAAGGCATCGACTGCCACAGCGTTCAAAAATCCAATGCCTACATGGATCGAACTAAGGAAGCTTCAGGCATGCAAAGTGAATTTGAGGAATGGAAAGCGATATTTTTGAATGGGAGCTCGAGTCAGCGCGTAAGGCTGCAGGATTTCTGTGAGTAAATACTTTTGAAGTGTAACTTCTATGCGCTCGCTTGAGTGTAAACGCAAACATGGGTGTAACGAAAAAGTGACAGAAAAAGAGAGGGGGAGGGCGGGGGTGATTGGCCACGTTAATGATTAACGCTAATATTAGGATTAAGATTAACGCTCAGATTCAGATTACGATAAGGATTAAGATTAAGAATAATAATAATATTCAGATTAAGAATAAGATTAAAATTAAAATTAAGATACGATTAAGATGAAGATTACGTTTAGGATTAAGATTAAGATAATGGGTAAGATTAATATTAAGGCTTAGATTAAGACTAAGATTAATATTAATATTAAGATTATGACTAAAATTAAGATTAAGGTTAGGATTAAGATTAAGTTTATTATTAAGATTAACATAATTAGTAAGATTAAGATTAAGTCTAAGATTAAACATAACTAATATTGTGATTTGGATTAGGATATGATTAACACTAAGATTACGATTATGTTAGGGATAAGATTAAGATTAAGTTTGAGATTGAGATTGCGATTAAGATTGGCAATAAGATAATTGCTCCTTG